CTGCACACAAGGTCCTGAGAGGCAGTTATGGACTCTTTATCCAGGTGTGCACACACAGCACTGAGCTTTTCAGATTATCCAAAGCAGTCACATCAGGAACGGATGTGTTGCACACAGAAATGGTGTCCCTGGGCATGGGCAAACATGTGTCAAGCTTGCCTATCCAAGCAAATGCCCCAAGGCCAACACAGAGGGAACTGAAATCCCTTCTAAAGAGCCATGTTCTTCACAACTGGCATCCCCAAACTCCTGCAGAGCAAGGCTGACAATTTACGCTCCCCTTCTCTCTCCTCTTTCTCTAGGAAGTGCCTGAAGAAGATGTGTGTCTACAACCCCAATAAGTTCGAGTGGAAGGAGCTGGCTCCCATGAAAACTGCTCGTTCCTTGTTTGGAGCCACTGTGCACAAAGACAAAATCTACGTGGCAGCTGGCGTGACCGACTCTGGTTTGACCAACTCAGTGGAAGTGTACGACATTGCCACCAACAAGTACGTACTGAGCACCTCTGGGCTGTAGTTACACCAGCACCAGCTGTAGGTGTACATTAAGAGCTTCCAACCATTCTTGCAGCTCCTCACATCAGTTCCTCCCTTGGGCATCAATGAGGCCTCACTGAGTAGGACATTATGTAGCACGTTGCTTCTGTCATTAGTACCATTTTATTGAGGATCGCAGAATCACCATGGCTGGAAAAGACTCTTAAGATCATCCAGTCCAACCATCTCAGGATCATTCCAGGCTCAGATTAAAAGTGGGTCATCAATGAGTTGAGCTGTTGGGTGCTCTGCGAGGCTGTTGTTTCATCTTATCATCTTCACCCAGTGCAAGAGACGTGTTCCCTGAGTTTGGGCTCTGGGATCCAGTCCAGCAATAGGACCTGCTGGTCCATGCTAGGTGTACATTGCAGCTCATTTACTCACAGAAGATGAAACAAAGCTATGATGATGAAAACAGCTATTTCTAGCACCATGAAATGAATGATCCCATCCCAAACAACATCCCAGGTACACGAGTTAGCCTGCCATGAATTGATTCAGCCGCTGATTCCCAGGGTGCTGCTGAGACCCAAGGGTGGGCAGGGTGCCCTAACATGTCCCTCTCTCCACATGGCAGGTGGGAGACCTTCCCTGAGTTCCCTCAGGAGCGCAGCTCAGTCAGCCTGGTGAGCCTGTCTGGGGTGCTCTACCTGCTTGGAGGATTTGCCACGGTGGAGACGGAGTCCGGGGAGCTGGTGCCAACAGAGCTGAACGACGTCTGGAGGTGATGACCTTCCCCCGGGCTCTCCATGGGAGATGGGGGATGATACTCAGTAGCAGACACCAGGGAAACAGATAGTTTTGGTCTTTATGCCTTCAGTCTGAGGGAAATGCTGCTACCCCAACACGAGGCTGCATGAAGTCTCTGGGAGAGATGTGTGCCCTGTATTGTGCTGGAAGGCACGTTAGGTGGTTCAGTGGTTTCTCCCAGCCTCCTATACAGGGAAATAGCAGGGAAAATCTCCTTTCTCTTTCTCCCAAATTGCCATTTTGTTTGGAGATGGTTCCAGACCCCCCCCTTTGGCTCAAAGCAGTGTTTGTGCAACGAACGCTCTCCTTGAGAAAAGCCAGTGCTTGGGCTGGAAAGCAGGTTGTCTTACATGGGAGCAGAGACAGAAAGCACTTTCCGACAGCTGCTCCTGCAGGGCTAGCTCCCATCCCTCGGGTCTGTGGCTGTAGAGCACCCTCAGCAGGCATTGCCTGGCCTTCACCACGGATGTTCCATCTTGGTGATACCAACCCACCCGCCAGGGTTCCAGCAGCTGCTATTGGCATGTCGTAGCACGGTGCTGTGAAGGTGGGGGGCTCAAAAGGTGAAGAGAGGGGATGCTTTCCTCACCACAGCTGTCTGTCTCTCTGTCTCTCCTCAGATACGACGAAGAGCAGAAGAAGTGGGAAGGGGTCCTCCGTGAGATCCAATATGCCTCTGGTGCCACTTTCCTTCCCGTGCGCCTCAATGTTTTGCGGCTAACAAAGATGTAGCATCATTTCCTTGCTTCAGTGGGCAGGGAGGGATGGGGAGTGGTAGGAGATGTAGTTTCTCTAGATACTGTGCAGGACATTGTGTCTGTGATTGGTACCATTTCACTGAGTCAAATGGGAGAGGGGGGAAATTGACTTGAAGCATTATGGCAACTTGCTGATGCTCAGAAGGTAACTAAAAAAGGATTTTGGAGCATGCAAGGAGCTGGGGAAGACAAACAAACATGGAGCAATGTGCTAATCCAGCCTCAATTGGCAGAACAAAGAGATTCCTCTCTTGTTCCATGTTTTTTCTCCATGTTTTTTCCAATCTTCTCCAGCCATCAGTGGAGCTAGAAGGGGGTTCTGAAGGCATTAAGTTTCTCCAGACAAAAGGGTCTCTGATAGGTTTCCTCACCTAAGGCAGCCGCAGGTTTTGTGCTACAAAGCACTTCAGAGGGGAAAGGGAGGTGGTGCAGGTCAGATCTGGGGGACTCTGAGGAGTTCCCACGTGGTGAAGGTCACAGAGATGAGAAGGCTGTAAGAAAAAAGGCTCGTGAGCACTGGCAGCAGAAATTCCTTCAACATTACAATGAACAGGAAAAAAAATTAGTTCTTCACCTCCATCCTGACTTTGCACTGAAGAGATGCAAGGAGGTAAGGGCTGCAAGAGGGGCTACGGGTATGACACTCACCTCCATCCCTTAGGGCTCCTTGTAGTCAATCACAGACTACAATGTCCTCATGTATGGAGGGACGAGTGCTTTTCTTTAGGGAAAGGTTTTATATTTATGCTTTCATTTTTATCGTTACAAACTTTTTTTTTTTTTAAAGCACTATTCTAATTTGCAGAATTCTTGGAGATCCCAGCAGTGTTTGGCTCAAATAGAGCTTCCTGCTGAGACAAAATGCATTGTGTTCTGTTTTGTTTTGTTTTTTAAGTGGTCATGATGATGTTTTCTTAGAAACACGGCTGTACCAGCAGCAGGACAGAGATGTGTTAGACCAAAAATCTAACCATGTCCGTGCTGAGTGACCTGCAGTTCATTTCAGAATAAATCTTGACAATATTTCCCCCCCAAATTTCCTTTCTCTGAATGCTGATGGAGCTGTAAATGGATGTGCACAGCAACCAAATGCAAGGACTGAGAAAAAGCTGTGATGAGAAGCCTGGAGAAATCCAGCCCCACGGGGAGCCCCAGATTTTCCCCCATTTCAGAGCAGAAGCTTTAGTGCTCGTGTCCTCAAAGCTTTTCTCAGTAGACATAAGAACTAGAAACTTATCTAGGAAGAGAAATACCAGCTGGATGCCTACAGCATCACGTGGTGCAACAAACAGGGGCGATCGTAACGAAAAAGAACAAATACGGATCTTGTAAATGAATGCCCTCAAAGCAGCACAGACTTTATGCTATCAGAAGCTTGGCTGATTCGTCCAGCTCAAAACGCAGCCTTGAGAAACTGAAACCAGTTTGGAAGTAAAGACATTTTTCCATGAGTAAAGGAGCCAGAGACTTGTCCTGCCTTCACCGTAAGGATTTTGTAACAATTACAGGATAATCTCCTTAGAAGACGATTATGTCAGAAGAGCAATGAAACGTTTTCAAGAGAAAAATAAATCTGAAGGGACCGGCTGGCAGCTGATAGCATTAAAAAGGAAAAAAAAAAATAAAAATAAAAAAAAATAAGCAACCAAAATGTTCGAAACAACCAAACATGACGAAAAAATCTGTGGCCAAACAAACCAATAAATGAATAAACAAACGGCCACCCTCCCTCCAGTTCTGGAGAAATTCCCATGGAAGGCTCCCAGGCCATTATAATGGCTTGTGTCAGAAGTGGAAAGAGCCTGGAATTCAAAAACGAAGTCATGTGTTGCAGGGGTGGGACAACACCTCCTGCCTGGGGCTGGAAACCAGTAGCTCAGCAGTTCTTGCTGGCTGCGGAATGGAAACCTGTTGTTGCTTGGTCCTGAGGGAGGCTTCCTCCCCATGGTTCCTCTCCTCACGGCTCAGCTGCTCCTGGGGGAAACGTGGGCCCTTTGAAGGCAATGGCGTGGCCCTTTGAAGTCATTGGGAGCACCGCTGTGCTGTGTAATTAGTGGTGTGGTCCCTTGATAATGGCTTGAGAAGCAGTGATTAAGCCCAGTCAGCATCCTGGTCCTCACCTTGCGCCTGTCTGCTGGGAGTTTGGTTAATAGGAGCTGAGAACTCCCATGTTGTTCACATCCATCACAAACTTTAGGAGGTACCACCTTCAGCACAGAGCAAGAGAAGATAAAGCAGCAGTTTGAAATCTCCCATCGTGTAGGCAAAAAGGGCCAACGCCAGCCAGAGCTCGTCCGAGGAAGCCAGCACATGGCCAAGCAAAAGTCTGGCCCAGAAACTGTCCAGCACCTCTCACCAAGAGGCTGTTACAGCCCAAAGACAACCTTCAGTAGACGAATCATCCAACCTTCAGGGAGGCACCACTCCTTGCTGCTGCCCAGCGTCTTCCTTGCTGAGATGCACACAACTCCATCAGGACATGTCCCCTATGGAAATCTCCAGCAATGATAGCTGAAAGGTTACATCCCAAAGGTGCAGCAGAATCAGCTCTTCTTCCATTGGCTTCCCAGTATTGCTGCCGGCCAGGTTCCCATAACTCCATTTCAAATCAATAAAGATGCTGGGTGCTTTTGGATGGGCTCTTTGGTTTCTCATTTCCCTTCAGAGGTGCTTGGGGAGCCTTGTCTCATAGTTGACTCAAATTTTGTGCCCTCAGTGTGACCCTGGAGCTCAGTCCTCACCTCCTCTAGCACCTCAGGGCCATAAGCATCCAGCCTTTCCTCTACCCCCTCATCACCCTTCCCTGAAAGGGTGTTTTTCTATTGGTCCCACAACAGCCTGGCTGTCTCACACAGACACACACCTCCCACCAAACCCAACACAAAGTCCACGTATGTGATGCAAGAGCAGCTGTGAGAGCATGCCACAATAACAAAGAAAGGGGTAGAGCTCCATGTTTTCTTTTATAAAAGACAAATTGTTTATTGATTCAGTCCTTCCACTTGCAACCTCTTTGGTAACAGTCGTAACACTTCTAGACCGGGAGAACGCAGTGGAAAGGCCCAGTTCTGTCCTCTCACCGCTTTCAGGAAGCCCTGAACGTGCCTTGGTGAGAGGCCAAAAGCAGGTTTCAAAGCACGGCCAAGGACCTGGCCTCTATGGACACCCCAGAACAGCCCACCACGGCTCGTCGTGCTCGCGGGCAGCCCAGAGAGCAGCTCCAGCACCTGTGGGCTGATGACAGCTTAGGATGGCGATGCATGCTGGGGTCGTGGTGCCAAGGCTGGCTGTGAGCTGTGCTTGGAAGGCAGCGTTGATGCACCTCTTGGGACTTCCCGGGCATCAGCCAATGGAGCCAACAACAAGGCAAAACTCGCCCCTGGTGGCCTCACAATGACGGGCTGAACCAGCAGGGTTGGCCTCCCCCTCATCACACCATCCCAAAGAGAGTAACTGCTGTACTTGGCGTTAGAGATAAACATATATTGATTACACATGGCCATAAAAAAAAAGTAATAATAATAATAATAATAATAATAATACATTTCCTAGAACGTTACTTAAGACGCTTCTGAAACGCATCCAAGCTTCCCCTCCCCTCCCTGTCTTCCCTTATCTATACAGAATAAAGTGCTTCGTTTAGTTTGTTCACACTAGCAGAGCCACCAATACACTCTTAAGTTGGCATGTTTGGGCAACTGATACTGAATGTCATAAAATAATACAGAGCCAAACACCAGGCATGAGAAACTAGTTCTGAGGCAAGTGCTTGGGGTTTCGTTCGTTTCCTTCAAGTTCCATGCGACTGAGGTTGTTCTTATTTCTGTTTTTTTTTCCTGTTCTTTGAAAAAGTTCTTTCCTTGTAAGTTCAACCCAACTCCGTTGCGGTTGTGTCTCATCAGGCAGGGCTGCGTTTGGGGAAGCTCTCTCTGTCCGTGTGAACCAAGGGCATCTGTCCATCTGTCCTTCCCTCTTGACTTCAGGCAAACCAAGAGTTGAATCAGTGGAGTTGTCTAGCAGCGGATGCTCGTCTCTATTGCACTGTCACAGCCGTTCCCACCATCTGTCAGTCCATCACCTTCCCATCGCGCTTGGGTTATGGCTGTGGTCCGAAGGGCCAGCTGCACCTCATGGACTTTATGAGGCTAACTGGTCTGTGCTACCAGGCTCCTGGGATATATAAAACAAAAACAACCCTCCCTGCCCAGCTCCATCCCTCCCCAGAGTTCAACCAAAGGGAAAATCAAAACCAAACGCCGACAGGTCTGGGGTGCGGGCAGAGCCGTCGGCCGAACGTCGCATTGGGGTGTATTTGTGAGCTGCATAATGGGAATCAAGCCCCTCTCCACCCTCGCAGTCTGTCGAAGAAGGGATGTGAGAGGTTAAGGTGCAAGAGTTAAAAATAAAAAAATAAAATAAAATATAAAAAGCTTGAACACAACGGGCCCGACTCTCCTGTCTCATCCCCCATCTAACCTAAAGGGTGCCAACATGGTCCAACCGGGGTGAAAGCGGGACAAGACTCTGTGAGAGCGACTCATTTGAGAACGTTAACGAACACCAGACATGACAGGACACATCAGGGCCAAACAAGGGTGCAGACAAAAGGGCTCGGAGGCCACGCTGGACTCCTAGGAGCTGCCCAGGCCTTGAAGCGGGGAGGGAACAGCAGGGATCTGGTTCTCCAAAGTGCTGTGTGCATGGTCACATCTCAATGTCTCCAAGTGGCTCTCCGGGCGTCTCTTGAAGGGGACTGGAGGTGGTCGAGCTCAGTCGTGAGGCTTCCCATGGATGTGGCGAGGCCTGGCTGCTGTAGGATGAGGGATGGCAAGCGCTCTGCACCTGCTCATCTCACCTGGACCAAACTTGGCTTTGTTAGTTCCAATAAAGAGCTCTCACCCCATGTCAGCATCCAAGTGGGACAGGTCCTTGCTGGGAGAGGATGAGGACAGGGATAGGGAAAGCCACCTCCACATGAGCGGATAAAGGAGCACGGGCGTGTTGGAGGGGGGATTTATTTGGGGAGAAGTCTACCAGGAAGGCAGGCCAATGGGGTTCATCACAAGAGACCACACAGGCAAGGTGAAGTCTCCTCGTGGTGCAGGCTCCCATCCCATCTCAAGGCCGAGTGCAAGGGGAAAGAAACGTGAGGGAGCCCAAAGGGATAAAGTCTGGGAGGCAGTGGAGGAAGAGACAGCACAGATTGCTCTACCGAGGCCCTCCAGTACCTCCGGGGGTATTACTGATAGCTCCTCCAAAGCAGCCACCTCCCAGGCTGGGTCATGGTCCCTTCAAAAAGTCAACAGCCCCAAGAACTGAGCACTTGTCCCTCACAGGTGGGTGTTTGAGAAAGCTTTGCACCATGCCAGGGTCATGAAGGACGGAAAGTGGCCAAGCTCTTCATACCCATCTGAGAAGGTTAAATACATCGAGGCAGCTAAGCCATCGCATCCTCCCCCTGCTCAAAGGCAGAGGGGAGTGAGGGTGAAGCCCTGCTACTGATCCTGGTACACTGGACCCCAGCCTGTACAGTGACAAGCAAACTGTTGCTACAAAGTGCTAACAACCCATGAGAACAGCAAGCTCTCCAGGGATGTCAGGCATGGGGACACCACTCAGTCATCCAGCAGGGGACACTGGTCACCCAAGCTGTTAGCTCAAACATTATTCTTTCAGAGCAGCCAGCATTCCTCAGACCTGTCTCAATGCACATCCCTGTCCAGCAACGCCCCTGAGCATGATGATGAGCTCTCCTGGCTCTGCACATACACACTCCTAAGCCCAGTTCAGGAGATGTGCACAAGGGCTTTGCTCATTTGGTCCAGGAGACGAAGCACCAAGACTCCTTGCAGGGCCAGGTGTGATTCACCTTCCCCAGCACCCTGATACCTCCCAGACAGGAGCACACAAGAAAGGGCTCCTGCAGCCCACCCAATGTCCTCTCTCACTCCTGACCACCAAGAAACCTCCTCACCGCCTCCTCTGCAACCTGACTGATATCCACATACATCTGCAGAGCTGCCCTGAGCAGCAAGGAATCCCCTACACCCGGGCTGGCACCTCTCTGCCCATGCTGGAGGCTCTGCAGCTCCTGCAGTGCTCCCCAAATGAACCCACAACAGTGACACTGTACCAGAGACCACAGAGTCATGTTCAGAGCAACATGTGACATCCCAAGGCAAAGTGCAGCAGCAGGAGACCCAGATTGGACCCCAGCATTCACCAAGAAGACAACAGCAAAGCCTTAATAGAATTCCAGCTCCTCCCTTACTCAAGACCACAATTCTTCTCTGCTGGCATGAGTAAGCGAAATCAAAGGCCGGCCTCACTTCAGCATCACACAGATCGCTGGGAGAGAAACACACAAACACAGCGTGGCCAAAGACGTATTAACCCACACCATGGGGCACCACCAAGCCAACCACAGCCCTCTCTGGCACATCAGTCCCTTCTGATCCCTGTGAGGGACTGCCGACCCTATGGGGAGGCGAAGCTTGGTAGAGCAAAGTGGGCTTTCCTGACATGGCAAGAAAAAGGCCTTGCCTCCACTCTAATGCCTGGGTTGAGACACAGCAGCTCCCAGCCAACACATGGAGCTCACCCACAGGTCGGGTTTATTTGGATTGTTAAGGCACTATTCTGGGCTGATTCTGCCAAGGACCGGTTGCATCCCACTCCTACATCCTGGTGTCATCCCACTGGTCCTGAGGCCATCCCAGCTCTCCCAAAGCCACTCTGCAAACACCAGAGTTTCTCCAGAAACCCATCTCTCAATGGGATGAGAAGGGCATCCCAAAGACAAAAGGGCAGCAGGCTGCCCATGCCCCCAAAACACAGCACCAGTGTTGTGCTTTTGTCTGTTGAGAGAAAAACCTGCGCTGGGGGAGGAAGACAAGGAGAGGGCTGCTAGCAAGGCCAGATGATGGCTGTCAATGGGGACACCTGCTTTGCTGCATGCCGCCAGGAAGCTAGCACACCTCAACTCTTGGGGAAAGAGCTTGATTGAAAGACCAGCTTTACAGTACAGGGATTCAAGCACCACTAGCTAGATTTCTGCTTATAAACACTGTAGTGCTGGCAGCCCGATGGCACAGCATGGCGTCCCTCTGAGCCCCACCGACCTCTTGACGTGGAGATGAATGCAATGCATAGTGACAGGGCAACCAGGAAGGGCTGGAATAAGCAACTCAGCTGGGGATGGAGCCAGTGGTGCCTGCATCACCTTGCTGGGTCAAATCACTGTCTCTCAGTGGGAAAAATGCCTTGGGAGACGCTTTTCTTCCCAGTTTTCCCTATGATGGGGAGTGCTGGTGGAGGGCTGTCAGGGGGCTCCATGGCCAAGATGAAATAGAGAGTGAAGTCTTTTATCTGCACCCTTACATACAGTCCCCCCCTCCACATCTAAGCCCCTTGGGGACTTCTTCCTGCTCCCACTCCCCACAGGGAAAGGCTTTGTAGGGGAAAACAAAAAAAAAAAAAGAAAAAAGAAAGAAAAATAAACACCAAAACAACCCCAAAACGAGGAGGAGGAGGAATGGGGCAGAGAGGAAGCGAAGCCACGTCTCCCCGGGTGTTTCCAAAGGGCAGAGCAGTCTGTGCAGGGGGAGGGCACCTAGTTGTTGTTTGAATTTATCCTCCCCGCAGGAAACAGGGGAGGCGGGGGTGGTAGATGAGGAGGAGGAGGGAGGGTCTGTGGCAGGGGAGGAAGCAGCGGCAGCGGGGAGACGCCGGGGGGCAGCGGGGCCGGGCTGGCAGCAGGCTGAGGGACCGCTGTGTCCGATGCCAAGGGGTTGCTGACACGGAAGCATTTCTCCTTGTGGGCTTTCAGCATGTTGGAGAAGCGGAAGCGTTGGCCGCAGACGTCGCAGGGGTAGGGCTTCTCGCCCGTGTGGGTCCGGCGGTGCCGCTTCATGTTGGGGCGGCTGGTGAAGCTCTTCCCGCAGATCTCGCAGATGTAGGGCTTCTCACCTGGGTTTTTGGTGGGGAGAAGGTGAGAAGCAGCACTGGATCCTTCCCTCATCCCCACAGAATCTTTGAATCCTTAAGGGCTAGAAAAGACCTCTAAGATCATCAAGTCCAATCCCAACCCAGCCCCACCATGCCCACTAACCATGTCCCTCAGTGCCACATCTCCACGCTTCTTGACATCTCCACGCTTCTTGACAACGATCCCAATCCCCACCCCAACTGTCAACTCCCACCCCAGCAAGCCAGGAGCTCTCACCCGTGTGTGTCTTCATGTGCTCATCAAAGTACTGCTTCATGTTGAAGTCCTTGCCACACCACTGGCACATGAACTGCTTGTGGCCGATGTGGATGCTCATGTGGGAGCGCAGCTGGTACTTGTACTGGAAGCGCTCGTTGCAGTTCTGCAGTGGGGTGGATGAGTGGTTGTTAAGCACAGGAAACACCCCAACATCCCAGCCCACCCTCACCTCATGTGGGAAAAGGACAAAATTGCTTTTTCCCTGAAATAATGCAAATAAGTGACTTTTGGGGTTGCGGAGAAAGACTGTGGATGTCCCATCCCTGGAGGTGCCCAAGGCCAGGTTGGACAGGGCCCTGGGCCGCTTAAGCTGGTGGGGGGCACCCAGCCCATAGAAGGTGGTTGGAACTGGATGATCATTAAAGTCCCCTCCAATCCAAGACAGACTGAGAGCCTCAGTCTAACTCTAGGGTAGGTGAGGCCTTCAGGCAGGAACACAGAGCATGGGAAAGGGAGGGAACACCCAAACAGCACAAAGGACTGTGAACTGGACTACACTTCCCCAGCTCTTTTGCCCCCATCTGTGAGAAAGCGGGGCATGGGGAATGTGGGGAGCAGGAGAGACCTCACCTCACACTTGAAAGGCTTCTCCCCGGAGTGCTGCAGCGAATGGACCTTGAGGGACATGCTGCGCTTGAAGGACTTCCCGCAGGTCTCGCAGGTGAAGGGCATGTCCTTGGTGTGAGCTGCAGCACAGATGAGCAGTGTCACACACCCTCCCCATGCACTGGCCTCTGGTGGTCCCAAAACTGACACCCAAACTTGGCCAACCCAAAGACATCATCCCAAGAAGACGTGTGGTAGCACCGTGCCACCAATGAACCTGGGGCTCACAACTGACCTTTATGCAACCCAGCACAAGATGCTATCTGCCAAAAAAACCACCCTTTTTTGCTCTTTTTTAGTGCCTCTGAGCACAGAGATGTGGCTGCTGTCGCCGTCTGTGATTTGCTTTTCAAAGCACAGTGCCGGCACAGGCTCATCCTCTTTTTACACGGGAAGGATGGTTACACTTCAAACCTTCCTTTGATCACTTCTGATGTCTTTTCATTTTTTCTGGTTACATAAAATAAATGAGATTTCCTGGTGCCACACCTGCTCAGCAGCAGAGAACTGCTCCAAAAGCAGCGATACAGAGCAGAACTACGCTCAGCATTCAGCACTCAGCACAGCAGGACAAAAAAAAAGCCAAATTTCTACGCTTTTGCTCTGCCATTAAAGAGCTAGCCCAGCCCTAAACTCCCAACATAGCAGCAATAGAAAAATGCCTTTCATCATCAAAAAGCCCACATCAGCACCCCCTAATGAAGATCCCCCCCAGTGAGACCCGGCGCCCCCCGCACTCACCAACCATGTGTTTGCGCACGTGGGCCATGGTGTAGAACTTCTTCTCGCAGATCTCGCAGGAGAACTTCTTCTCAGCGTAGCCGTGGACGATCTTGTTGTGCTCATGGAGCGACCAGAGCTTCTTGAAGCCCTTCCCACACGTCACACACTGCAACGAGAGAGGGGCTGGGCAGGGAGGCAGGGGAACGTACCGAGGCATTGCCGGTATTTGGGTTTTGCTTTGGCTGTTGAAAGACAGCATCATCACAAAACCTGAAGCTGACAGAACGACAAGCAAGGTTTCCGCAGACCTTGCGGCTTCAAAAGCTCCAAAACCCCATTTTCTGCTCGTTGGCTGGGCTGATGTGGATCCTTCCTTCCAAGGAAGGACACATCCCTCTGGCAATGGATCTAGGAGACTTGCAAAACCTATGGCTCATGCACCAGGGTCTTATTCCCAGCTGGGGATTTCGTGCTTGCACACAATAAAGACATTACATCTGAAAAATCCAACCCTGCTGTATTAGCATTAGAAAGCTGCAAGGGATACAGGGAAAAAGGAGAGGCACCAAGCTAGGGCAGCACGACTTTTGTCTTCAGCAGGTATCCCGGCACTAAATGAGCTCTCTGAAATTTGGTATTCATCCCCAAAACTCTACTAGTATCTACGGATTTTGAAAACGCCCATGAATCTCCCGAAATCTATTAACATCCATTAATTCAGAAAACGGCCATTAACGGAGCAAAGCAGACCCCAAACGGGCTCATTTGCACAGCAGAATGACAGGATGTGACAACGTTAATCACTAGCAAAGTCTCCTCCTGGGAATCACAATACAGGTTTGCTGCTGCTCCATCAAGCTCAATGCTTGTCAAGGAAGCTGCCAGGAGAAGCTGCAACCTGTGCCTCCATGGATGGCTTTTCACCTCTGGCATGGGCTGCCGTTGGCTTTTTATCACATGCCCACTTTTATCACATGCTCAGCTTCTGCACAGGCTCAAAACCCTTTCTGAATTCCAACAGAGAGAGGTGAACCCAAACCAGTGGTGCATGAGATCAGCCTGGGGCTTGGGGAAACAAAAAGCATTGCACAGCCCTTGCTCTGCTGGAGCAGCCTTCATCTCCCCATGTACTCTTGTCCAACTCCTCTTGTCCAATGGGGCTCAGAACATCTCTTCTCCTTGTGAGTAATAAGTGATGCCTAGGAAGCATCTGGCAACAGCACAGCCAAGCAGTATCAGCAAACCCATGGGGGATTTCATAGGGGGTGCAGACAGATTTGCCTCAACCTTCTCCACCCATCCAGGGGAGGAGATGCTCCTTCCAATTCTGCACTGAATGAGGCTGCAGTACCACGGAAAACATACTATTATGTCATGTCATTTATGGTTAGGTGCCTGGAAGGCAAAATGAGGGTCACAGCGGCACTCCCAGCACTCGATTTCTTCATCCTGGCAGGCTTGAACTTCAGCACGAGCAGTTTTACTGGTTCTAAGTAAATATTTCTATAGATCAGAGCAGTTTCATCTCTGCTTTAAGAGATGTTTCGGGACCAACTTCCGTATTCTCCACTTAAAATGAAAAAGGCTGCAGGGGAATATTAAAATTAAAGACGGAGGAAGGAGATGTAGGAAAGTCCTCATCTGGGACCACGCAGCCCCAAGGGCAGAGCCCTGTGCCCTCAGGCAAAGGACGAGGCAGGTCATCAGATAAATTCTGGCAGGTGAAGAGGAAAATCACACTGGAGAGGGTCAAGAGAGATTCTGAGAACAACGTGATAAAGCAAAGGGTGAATCCTTATTGAGGCAGCAGGGCAGGAAAGCGGTGATGGGGTCACGGGTGTCAATGGGAAGCGTTCACAGGGAGCGAAGCTGCAGAGAGGGATTGAGAGCCCTCAGGGTGAGATCCGGGGACAAATCAGTAATAGATTTTAGGTGGCACAAATAGGGTAAAAGGAACGGTCCTTCCATGGATGTGTTTAAAAACTGTCCAACACAGAGACCAAAAAAAAAATCTCCTTTTCCAACCAGGCCTAATTCCACGCTACACTGATAAAGTTACTCAATATTGTCAGGCTAAATAGAGTGAATTTGGCTGCTATTTATAAAATGCAAAAAAGCCTGAGTAAGTGAGAGGTAATGAGCCAAGCCTTCCGCAGAGGGAGGTCACCACAGGGGCAGCCGTGGCTCACCCTGTTCCAAAATGACCCAGAAAAGGGATTAAAAAGGGAGGAGGGAAAAAAAGCAAAGAGGTGACAGCACTCGCTGATAGCCCCACGTCCACCAGGAAAGCAGCAGAAAGGCGTGAAGAAACGCCCTGGGAAAATCTTTCAGTTGCTTTATGATGAGCTCTGAACCAGGCACCAGCGTGTGAGAGGCGCTGGGCATGGATTCAGCGGTCCTGGTTCAGTGCATGCAAAGGCATCCCAAAAAAGCAGGCATCAGAACTGTGTGTTTTTCAGAAGGAAAAACACTCCAAAGGGCTTTGGCACCTATTTTATTCGAGATGCAAGCACTGCAGGGCTGCAGTGGCACCCTGGTTGCGTTCCTTTCACCAAGGAGGGGTGCAAAATCCCTTAGAATCCCACCGTTTGATGGAAGGATCATTTGGTGCGAAGCTCTCTAGCAGATTTTGTTCTTTTCTTAACAGCAGCACAACTGTTCAGAGGGAATTAGAAGTTTGCAGGAATGTGCAGTTTTGTGCTCAGCAGGGATGCCTGCCTATCACCCCAAAACTGCACCGATCTAATGGAGGAGATTTGCACGTGCAGACAAGGATCCCATCAGTGCTAGGCGAAGGACAAACAGTCCCTGAGCCTTGCATGGATGTCAAGTGAGTTTGGAAATTCGCTAAATACGTGAGCTAAAGAGCACAAAAGGCAGATTAAAACCACTTACTTATGTCAGCAATTCTTCAAATCAAGCTAAATTGGGTTAAGCCTGGGTGGAACCGGCTGGAGTGCGTCTCCATTAGAGGCTTGCAATGTTTTATCCAGATTAACAGAACAAACGCAAAGAAAAACTACTCCCCTCAAACCACTCTGCATTTCTACCTGGCTGGCCAAGGGGAAGACACTGTTTGTCAGCACTAATCCTCTGGTCCCATGCCACCGTGGGAACCCTCTAAGCTCAAAGACAAGTCACAGGAGAAGCAAGGTTCCCTCCAGTCCACCACGTCCACCCACAACATCAAAAGTGTTATCTGCACACAAGACCATGCTATGGTTTGACTGGATGGGATGCTCTCCCCGTTGGGATGTCTTGTCATGGTGGGACATCCTCCTCCTTGGTGGGACGAACCACCTCAGTAGGATGTCCCATCACAGCAGGATCTCCCTCCCCAGCAGGCTGTCCAATCACAGTGAGATGTCCCCCCCCTTGGTGGGATCCCGTCCCCAGCAGGATGCCCCATCATGGTGGGACGCCCCTTCCCTTGGGGGGTGTCGCTGGGCTGTTGGGCTCACCTGGATGTTCTTCTCGCAGTCGGTCTGATGGTGCAGCAGCAGCTCACTCTCCAGCAGGAAGCGTTTGCCACACTTGTCACAGATCTGCATGCGGCTGTGCGTGACGTTCATGTGCTTCTCCAGGTACCAGCGGTTGTTGAAGACCCGGGGACACTTCTTGCACGGGTAGTGCTGCTTCTCCTCCAGTTTCACCTTCTGGCCCAGCCCGTCTTGCTCTTTCTTCCTCTTCCGCCCTCGTTGCCCTTCCTCTTCTTCCTCTTCCTCCTCTTCTGTCTTGGCCATCTCCTGGGACCGGGTGGCCATGGCAGATTTGGTGGCTTTGGACGCTCGGCTTCCTCTGCGGGTCTGCCCACTCTTTTCCCTTTTCACCTCTGATGCGTCTTCATCCTCCTCCTCCTCCTCCTCCTCTTCTGTTGTCTCCTCCAGGTCTTCCTCCTCACTGTGCTCCTCCTCTTCCTCCTCACCCACCTCTGCATCCTCCTCTTCCTCCTCCTCCTCATCCCCTTCCTCGTTCTCCTCCTCCCCATCCTCCTCTGTGTCACGTCCATCTCCATCGGGCCGCCCCATCACAGCCGCCTCGCTGGCGGCCGCCTTCCCCTCCATGCCCTTCGAGACATTGAGCGTCTGGTTGTTGAGGTTCACCTCCACGATGATCTGCTCCCGGTTGTAGGAGCTCTGGCTGTCCAAGTCCTCCTCGGATTCCTCGCCCTCCACCTTGCAGACAGCACCCGGACCTCCATCCTTCTCCTCCTTGTAGTACTGCTTGGCTTGTCCTGGTGGCAGCGGCCCACCACCCGCCCCATCCTCCACCCGCACCGAGTAGGGGTCAGTGCCCTCCCGGGCGTAGATTTTGGGGTGAGGGGTGTCCACCTCCTGCTTGATCTCACAGTAATACGGAGGAGGGCCAGCACAGCCCTCGGCGGGCAGGGCCATGTCTGTAGCCAGGCTGAGCGAGCGCGTGTCCAGCAGGTCCTGGCAGGAGGACGCGATGTTGTTCATCTGCAGCACGGCGGCCGCGTTCAGCACGTCCTGCACATTGCAGGAGTTGACGAGGAGCTTGGAGGTGTAGATGAAGTTGAGGATCTGCTGGAGGCCCTGAGAAGTGAGGGCCTCCAGGGAGAGCTCCACGCGTTGCAGCTGCTTGTTTTGGGTGAAGAGGGAGTGGAAGAACTGGCTGTAGGCTGCCAGGACCCCCTTGTGCGCCGGGAAGATGCTCTTGTGCTGCACCAGCACGATGTCCACGTCGCACAGGTCCGGCTGAAAGAGGCGCTGCTCGTTCAGTCTGTCCATCAAACACGTGAAGTGGAGGGCTACATCCTCCACCAGGGAGTACTCGGCTGAAGGGTAGTCAGTTGTCTTTTCGACTATCAGCTGTGGGCAGGAAGGAAATAAAACTGTTCAAAAAGGCTTTTTCCCCAGGAAAAAACCCACCCAGCCATGTCACCCATCCCTGTCCATCTGTCCTGGGTCAGAGATGACAACCAAGAGGCTCCACCTCCAGACTAAGCTTGGGAATGCCAACCAAGAAGCTTCATCTTGGGGACACCAGCCAAGAGGCTCTACCACCAGACCCAGCCTGGAAAGGTCAACCAAAATCCTCCGCCACCAGATTATGCTTGGGGACACCAACAAAAGAGGCTCTACCACCAGGCCCAGCTTGGGGATGCCAACCAAAATGCTCGACCATCAAATTAAGCTTGGGGACACCAACCAAAGAGCTTCACTACTATGCTCAGCTTGGAGATGCCAACCAAAAGATTCAATCAAGAAGGAGAAAATTTGCTGTGAGAACAGGCTGAAGAGCCACAAGCACTTGTCAACAGCTCCTCAGTGCAGGTGGGAAGCACCGTGGCCACCCCATAGCCTGGTGGAGGCCAAAGCCTCAACACTCACGGACAGAAGACGTCATGCAGGACAGGGGCACTTTAATACATCCTCAGCCTCCTGAATCAGATGGGGTGGGAGCTATGGTGGGGATATTCACCAGTTCTAGGCAATGGATGAGATGCCTTCCACCGAGCAAGGAAGCAATTAGGATTTTAAACTTCCCCATTCCTACAACACAATTACATAAAATCCCACGACACTTGGGTTACGCTCACAGACAGCAGCCCCTGGGCCGTATCTCCCACTTCTCTTCCTCCCTTGAGGCCAAGGACCCACAGGTGAATCCATGGGCACTTCCCATCACCCTACGCCGAGCAAATCCCCAGCTGAGCACACGAGCACGTTAAGCACACGGCCCTTAAAAGCAAGCACTGAACTGCTCCACGTGCGCTGACTCACGTTGCCATTATTCACCAGGACGATTTATGCCCCCCCTTCCCCTCTTTTTTTTCTTCTTTTTTTAAATTAAACTTTCATCTTCTAGTTGCCTCGGGAAAGGCAGCACCCAGAACAATCCAAGCCTGGAAATGCTGTGAGAGCTGGGGCTGCTGCCCAGTGATTTAACTCTACCTGCACGTGCTTTTGCAGGGCACAGACCCCACGACCCTCACCCACCGTCCTATGGAGACCCAAACTTTCCTTCCCCTTGTTTTCCATGCTGAGCACCCAAGACAAGAGGCACGGATGGATACGGCCCTGTGAATGCTCTCTGTCCTGCTATGGGCTGTGAGAGGGGCTGGGGCGCAGTGCAGTGATAGGGGGGCAGTGCTTCATCCTGCACCCTCTGTACCAGAAGACTTTCCCAGCTGATACTTTTTCTGGGACAAACAACAGTTCTTGATCAACTGAATGATTCCAGCAGGACACATTCTGTCTTTTTTTCTTTTTTTTTTTTTGTAAGCCAAAGGCAAAAACATACCAGAAAAATGCTTAAATAACAAAAAAGGGTGTTTTCTTCTTTGTTTTCTCAACAAACAAACAAAACCCCTCCTCCACCCTGCTAAAATTTTTCATTTTCCTCTGAATTTCTGCTCTGCAGCCATCCATCTCGGCAACTCAGCAACCCTGGCACAGGGCAGTCCCAGCAAACACTTATGTCCTTGAGAAAAGGAGGAAAATGCAGCTCTGCTCCCAGCTCTGCAGCAGGGCAAGGAAGTGGGGAAGGTATATATGATGGATATTTTTGTTATAAAATGCTGCATCCCAGCTGGTGCATCTATCCATCCATCTACCAACCAATGAAACACCCATCCATCCACCAACCAACCAAACATCCAGCCAGCCACCCATCTGTTCATCTACCCACTCGCACATTCATGCCCCCATCCATGCTTCCATCCATCCACTCATCCTCCCATCCATGCCCCCATCCATCCATCCACTCATCCCTCCATCCATGCCCCCATCTATCCATCCACTCATCCTCCCATCCATGCCCCCATCTATCCATCCACTCATTCCTCCATCCATGCCCCCATGCAGCTATCCATCCATCCATCCACTCATCCCTTCATCCATGCCCCCATGCATCCATCCATCCATCCACCCATCCCTCCACCCACACCCCCATCCACCCACCCACCCATTCATCCCCCCATCCGTGCTCCCACCCCTCCATCCACCCATCACCCCTCCATCCACCTGCCGACCCACCCGTCCATCCATCTGTCCCCTCTGCTCTCTAACCCTTGTGACTGCCAAGGACACGTCGACGGAAGGAATTTGGATGGCTCGGCTCCTCCAAGCGAATTGAAAAAATGATGATATAATGAAAATCACTGTGAACGTTGAAGAAACAGCAAGCTTTCAACCGAGCAGTCTGCTGCTTGCCAGGGACTCTCCCGCCTTGATTGCACTCCAAAAAAAGCCCTACATTTGGGTTTTGCCTTTAGCATTTGCAACACAGGGTGCACCTCGCTTTGCTCCCGATACAGGATGCCATGAATCCACAAGGTGTGCAGTGGAAAAACGGGTGCAACACCGGGGAAATGGGGTCCTCTGAGCAGCATCGCCTCAGCTGCAGCCCAGTCTGAAAAACAAACGTTGGCTTTTTGCTCCAGATTGAGGCATTTTTGGCAAAAAGGGGCTGACCCCTCACCCAGCGCCGGGTCCTGCCAGGCAGCTCTAATCAGTCCCAGCAGCGGCGAGGACAATGCGTGTCTTGGCCGCGTCCCGCCAGTGACTTCAGCCTGGACTTGTCAGCAGGAGGGTTTGCTTTTTATTGCTATCAGATGCTTTCGTGCTCTTGCCCGGAACTGGCGTCCCAGCCAAGCCCTGAGTCGCATCAGAGAGGCACCCATGGGGGTCACATCCCCGCCTCACCCCCAAATAACCCCCCCCCAGGGCTGCATCAGCACAGGGGATCGATCCCACAACCCCTTCATTGTGCTAATCATGCATATATACACATAGTTTAACTGAAAAAACAAATCATATTTTTGCTCTTTTCTGCCATCACGGCTTTGGCTTGCTGGCAGCTCACGTTGCTTTGGTTTAGTTTTGCAAGAGGCCCAGCCTGGTGGGAACAAGTCTCATTTTGCGTCCCCATCTCCATCTCCACCCCCACCTTCATTCCCAACCCCACCTCCATCTACAACCTTAACTCCAATCCAATCTCCAATCTCAATCTCAAACCCAATCCCATTGCCAACCCCAATCCTGACCCCATCTCCAATCTCCATCTCCAGTTTCCAGCCCCATCTCCACCCCTGTCCCTGTCTCCAATCTCCATCCCGTCCCCATCTCCAATCCTTGTCCCCACCTCCAACTCCGACCCCAACCCTGTCTCCATCCCTGTCCCCATCTCCAAAAACCCCATCCCTATCTCCAATCCCTATCTCCAATCTCCATCACTGACCCCAACCCCATCCCCATCCCAAACTGGGGATCCCACCGGGTGCCCCCATTCCACTGCACACTCACACCTTCTCCTTTTCCCAAAACTCTCCCAACCAACCAAAGCAGTCACCGAACCTCTGCCTTCCCCAGCACTGAGCAGAGCCCCATAGGGATTATTCGAAAGCGGCGGGGCCGTGCTCTCCCCACCCTGCTGGGCCAGCCGGCGCCTGCAGCCAGCCCCCCCCCCCCCCCCCCCACGCCGACGCTTCCCTCCAGCTCTATTTTAAGAGCATTTCCAACCAGTGCTGCCAAAGCCCCGTCCCGAAACAGCCCATGGGGAGGATGCTGGGGGCATGCGGGGCCCGCAGTGCTCACACGTTTTTTTTATTGCTCCTATTTTTTCGTGCACAAGCCCCTGTTTCCTTCCTTTCCCTTCAAAGCAACCTCACTGCTACCCTCAGCCAGAGCACAGCAGCAGGATGTGGGCAGAGATAAGGGCCATGCGGGAAGCGCGGGTGATGCTCACTGGACCGCAGGGAGCCGCAACCGGGCCAGGGAAGCAGCAGTGCTATGTAAACACACCCTGCCTTGAACGGAGCTCTGCTTTGGGAATTCCCTTCCAATTTTTCACGTCCCCCAAAATCCCCCAAAACTCAGTTCTCCTGTGCAATCATCCCTACAGGCATTCAAGGCCAGGCTGGATGTGGCTCTGGGCAGCCTGGGCTGCTGGTTGGTGACCCTGCACACAGCAGGGGGTTGGAACCAGATGAGCATTGTGCTCCTTTGCAACCCAGCTATTCCATGATTCTATGAATCTACTTTTTGGTAGCATTTTGCAGCTGCTGAAGCACTGACCTTCAATATTAAACTGCACTAAGGAAAAGCGCTCTGATAAGTAGCTCAGGATGTTGCCTGTATCTTGCTTGTCAAAAATAATTAAGACCTACCTGTGATTTGGACAATGCTGTCTTTTGAGGAGGAAGTGCTTTGCTGAACCCCTGTTTGATGCCACACTTCTGCTAAAGAAAGGAACGGCACTAAAACCTATTGTAGTAGAATCTGCATGACACAAAACTGCATCACTGAGATGATGCTAACCCCTGTGCTGGCACTGTGGGGTTCCATCCCTACAATCTGCCCTCAGGTTCCTATTCCTATCACTTGCCCTGTGCCCGTGGATGAGATTGGCATCCTCCCTTCTCTGGCTTTGAGAGCAGATAATGCTAAAAACAGTGCAAAGCTCATGGGAATGAAGCCACCCCATGACCTGCAGCACTGCTGAGCAGCTAAAAAAAAAAAAAAACACAAGAAATGCCACCAAAAAAACTCAGGACACATCCCCAAAAGCCATAAAACCACCCAAACTCCAGGACTGTCACCAAAAAAAACCATCACCGGGAACCCAAGAAACCACTGGGTTTTGGATCGTGGCTATGCACAGAAGCCCTGTGTTGGAGGAAGGCTCTCCCCACCGTGCCCTTCTCTATCTCCTCCCTTCACCAGCACTCTGGTACAGCTCCCATGCATTGCATTCACACAACTTTCTGGAAAAACCCAAGGGCAGAAGGCTGCCAGAGCATCCCTGCTGCATCCCTCCCACTGCAGGGCTGGTTTGGGATTTCAAGGTCTGTTCAGAGAAACAA